TGCCCTTAACATTTTTTCCTTCATTTCAACTTTGGTGAATCTGACAATTATGTGTCTTGGAGTTGCTCTTCTCGAGGAGTATCTTTGTGGCGTTCTTTGTATTTCCTGAATTTGAATGTTGGCCTGCCTTGCTAGGTTGGGGAAGTTCTCCTGGATAATATCCTGAAGAGTGTTTTCCAGCTTGGCTCCATTCTCCCTGTGACTTTCAGGCACACCAGTCAGATGTAGATTTGGTCTTTTCACATACTCCCATATTTCTTGGAGGCTTTGTTTGTTTCTTTTTACTTTTTTTTTTTCTCTAAACGTCTCTTCTCACTTCGTTTCATTCATTTGGTCTTCAATCACTGATACCCTTTCTTGCAGTTGATCAAATTGACTACTGAAGCTTGTGCATGCGTCATGTGGTTCTCGTGACATGGTTTTCAGCCACATCAGGTCATGTAAGGTCTTCTCTACACTGGTTGTTCTGGTTTGCCATTCTTCTAATCTTTTTTCAAGGTTTTTAGCTTCTTTGCAATGGGTTCGAACTTCCTCCTTTAGCTCGGAGAAGTTTGATTGTCTGAAGCCTTCTTCTCTCAACTCATCAAAGTCATTCTGTGTCCAACTTTGTTCCGTTGCTGGCAAGGAGCTGCATTCCTTTGGAGAAGAAGAGGCGCACTTATTTTTAGAATTTTCAGCTTTTGTACTCTGTTTTCTCCCCATCTTTGTGTTTTATCTGCCTTTGGTCTTTGATGATGGTGATGTACAGATGGGGTTTTGGTGTGGATGTCCTTTCTGTTTTCCTTCTAACAGTCAGGACCCTCAGCTGCAGGTCTATTGGAGTTTGCTGGAGGTCCATTCCAGACCCTGTTTGCCTGGGTATCACCAGCGGAGGCTGTAGAACAGTGAATATTGCAGAACAGCAGATTTGCTGCCTGGTTGTTCCTCTGGAAGCTTCATCTCAGAGGGGCACCTGGCCGTGTGAGGTGTCAATCAGCCCATACTGGGAGGTGCCTCCTAGTTAGGCTACTCAGGGGTTAGGGACCCACTTGAGGAGGCAGTCTGTCTGTTCTCAGATCTCATACTGCATGCTGGGAGAACTACTACTCTCTTCAAAGCTCAGTTGGAAATGCAGAAATCACCTGTCCTCTGTGTCGCTCATGCTGAGAACTGTAGTCTGGAGCTGTTCCTATTAGGCCATCTTGGAATCTCCTCTATGTGTTTGTTAAATAGAGAACAAATAGAAACCTGTATGTATGAAATTATAAAACATGTATACTTTCTAAATAATATATGGTTATATATTTTATTAGTGGCTTTAAATTTATGGTAAATAGTTATCAATAAATGGGATTTAGAGGTTAGATGAATGTCTTTCTGGCAGCTTGCAGATCATTGTCTTTCTCTGGGTCAGTATACTCTTTGGGTGCAGTGATCCCCAGATCTCTTTCCTCACTTCTCTGACAGTCTGTCTTTCCGTCTTTCTGCAAAAACTAGCTTCTTGTTTTACTGAGAAAATATAAGCAATCAGAATACAAGTTGCAATACTCCCACTGACCTGCATATAAGATCATAGACTCTACTTTCCCTTTGTTTACATAGATGAACTTTCTGTGCTTTTGTCTAAGGCCTGCTTTTCCACTTAGGTACCTGGATCCCTTTCCCTTTTTTTCTGCAAAAGAACATTGTACCAGCTAATGAACAGCCCTCTACCTCCTACATCTTCCCTATGCTACATCATTCCCATCATTAGAGAATTATTCTGTCTTATCTCCTGTCATTTAAAAAAGTCTTCCATTGGACAACAGTTTCTCTAGCAGCCTCTTCATTCCCGTTTCCCTTTACAGAAATTCCCTTCTCTCCATTTCACTCCTTCCCTTCTCTCGAAACCAATTAAGAGAGCTAATCAAACTGTTATCCTCACTGTTCTATTGAAGCAAATTTTGTCAGGGTCACCAGTGAATTCACATCACTAAATCACTAAATTCAGTTGGCTTCTGTGTCATCATTCTTTCTTAATTATATCTTAGTTTTCCCTGACCACTGTCAATATCCTTGGTGGTTCTGTTGCCCTGACCACTAAATTTGAAAGTGTTCCAGGGCTCAGTGTGTGGACTCCTTTTTTTCTCCTATTGCCACTCACTCTCTGGGTCACCTTTTCAAGCTCTATGGTTTTAAATGTAATCTGTAAGTGGTTCTTGCTGTAAGATTTTTTTTTTGTTTAACAATCTGGACCTTTCTAATGATCCTAGACCTTCATACCCATTTGCCCACTCAACACCTCCACATGGATTAGTAATAGGCATATTAAATCTAACACGTCAAAACAAAATTCCTGATGTACACTGCAGCCTACTACCCTAGTAATTTGCCTGCTGTTACAAATGGCAACTCCATCTTTCCACTTATTCAAGCCAAATCCCTTGAGATTTTCTTGTCTCCTATATTTCTCTTATAGCAAAATATCTATTCTGTCACCAAATGCTGTCGTTTTTACCTTCAACATCTACAGGGTCCAACAATATCTCACCATACTTGTACATGCACACATACACTCACACACAGACAAAAATATGTATGTGAACGTATAGTTTTTACTACACGTCTTGGCTGAATTCCATTAGTCTCTCTAATGTTTTTGTAGCTTCACCAGTTGCCTTAAAAGATTGTAACAGCAGAGCAAGTAGAATTTAGCAGCATGTTGTCTTAAATTTATAAAATAGCAAAAATAGCAGCATGTTGTCTTAAGTTTATTATAGGTTCATTGACTACACAGAATCACATTTATACCTTTTCTAGTACAGTTGCAAGACATACTGTTCTAGATGTGTTAGGGTGAAGCATTTATTTACATTTTACTAGATCAAGTGCTACATTTACCTAGGTAAGTAAAGAACCTAAAATGAAGTATTACCTATATTAGGCTCAAAATGGTTGTAAATTCTAAGGAAAATCAATGTGATGGTGGTTCTACACATATTTACTGCTGGGCAAAGTACCACGAATGCTTCATTTTACTGAAACTGTCCATTATATATTAAAACAATACTGTGAAAACTCTGTTACTTAAAATATATAATGCTTTTTAAACCAGAGAGAAGAATACCATCTTTTGAATAGGTTTACATTTTAAAATAAATATGAACACTTATGTATAATAATTATAATACTGTAGAATGCCTTGTAACAAGGTATATGATTTTCTTTTAGGTGTTTTAAGTTTTGCATTTTTCTGGTTAATGAGTAATGGAGTCCATTGTAGAAAGTTTCACTTTTCAGAAATCTGTGAGGCTTTAAATAGCAGATGTTTTCTATAACCACAGACTCTTTCGCAACTTGCATTTTACACACAAAAGTTTATATTGAGCCACTTTTCATTTCAGTAAAGATGTATTGGTGATGCACAGTATCCCATAGTGTATATATGTCATAATTTATTTAATCTCCCATGAAAGCACCTTTGGGTTTGTTTTCAAGATGTTTGGTCTTTAAAGCTGAATTAAATAATGTATGTGTTATTCTCTACACTTTGGCTGGCATGATTCACTCTCAAAAAATGGAAGTTGACAGATTCATGGACATTAACATTTTTGTATATTTTGCCATCTTACTATCTAAAAGGTTGTATTATGTTGGATATTTTCCTCAACAAGTATTAAAAAACTTTGATTTTCCCACATCCCTGCCCAAAATGTGCTCTTTATTAATTATTATTTTTCCCTATCTTATCTGTGAAAATGCATTAATTCCCTTCAATTTGCAGTCATTTAACCATAAGTGATACTAGAACGTCTTTTACATACATATATTGCCATATATTATCTTCATTGTGAATTGCCAAACTACATGTTTTATGCACTTTTCATTTTTCTTTTTAATTTATGAGAGTTTTCTGTAGATACATGATTATGAAGTTCTTAGAATATTTAAAATAGTAAAACATTATCAAAGAACACAAAGAATAACTATTTCTGTGTATGCCAATAAAATTACTTTTCCAACTGAAACATACTATTTAGAAAAGTCTTGTTTTGCTGTAGTCATAGAAGAGGATTGTCACACAAACAGCTGAATTATCATCATAGGGCAATACATTCATTTTATTAAGTATGCCAAATAAACAAACATGTCTTATTTTCACACTTGTGGGAAATTGAGTGTATCTGATCCCCAGGAGTTATTTTCTTATGCATATAAACTTTTTCCTTCTTTATCATTACTCTCTAAGCTTTGTGTTATTTACATACTGATCAAATAATATAATAATAGTGTTTCATTGCTGTCATTAATCATGTTTTGCTTGTTTGTTTTATGGAAGGTCTATGCCAGAAAGGAGGCCTTGAAGGGAGGTTTGGAGAAAACTGTAAGCCTCCAGAAAGATCTATCAGAGATGCACGAATGGATGACACAAGCCGAAGAAGAGTATCTTGAGAGAGATTTTGAATATAAAACTCCAGATGAATTACAGAAAGCAGTTGAAGAGATGAAGGTAAAAAAAGGGAAAACTAAGTAAAACAAAGCAAATAAATGGAAAAAGAAATGCAGCATTGCTTGAAATTGTATACGGTATGCTCTTTCCTGGTTCTAAGAGAAGAGGTTGATTTTTAATTAATAATTTTAATTAATTTAGCTTCAAGTTTAATCTGTGTTTTAACAGTCTTAAACTGTTTACTTTTAATGCATTGTGGTCAATTATGAATATTGAAAATCACAATTTGAAAGAATTTTCCCTTGAAATCATATAGTATTAAGAGAGCAGAATCAACTCATCACATTAGCTGTCTGTAGCTGATGTAAATGCATGTTGAAACTGTGCAAAAGTATTCTTGAAAAGGCAAATTTACAATGTAGTCAACAAACTGTGTTAATTTGGTATTTTAAAGGCGTTTCTTAGAATTTGGTAGCACTAAATATTTGAACCCGTAGCCTTTAATATGGATAGAAAGGACTGAGTTTACATGTACTTTTCTTGGAGCAATAGAACAAAATGTAACATTGACTTATGACCAACGAAACTGGTATGTAGTATGGATTTGGAGGTGAAGCCTGGAGTTGAACCTACACCGTGGCATTTTGTATGGCCTTGGGCAACTCAGTAGTCAATATAATCCTCTATTTTTTCGTGTTTATGTCATCATACATCCTCACTTGAATGTATGAACTGTTGATTGAAACTAACATGTAAGTAAATTGCCTAACTCAGAGTTGGTGCTCAGTTAGTAGCTATAATCATAACTATTATTTTTATGTACTAGCAAGAACATAGAGAATAACATGTGAAATATTAATACTGTAGATCTTTGTTTGGTTCAAGGATTGTGACAAGGAAAAATCATTGTGGAGCCAGATACTTGAGTTTAAAACTTAGTTCAGCCCCATGCCAACTGTATAAATTTGGGTGAGTTACATAAGCTTACTGAGCCAAATTCCTTTATTTGTGAACTGAGTATCAGAATGTCTGCTTTCAGAATCATTAGAGGGATGAAATACGAAGTTTCTATCACAATGCCTAGCACAGTATAAATGATCATGACTCGTTATTTATTATTCTAATTGTGAAAAGGGCCAAATGGTAAAAAATTGTCTACTCTGTTATATAATTTATATAGTAATTCAGAAATATTTATTACAGTTAATTGTGGAAAGTAACTCACATGAAAACTCAGATGTTTAAATACCGAATCTATCATATGGCTTTAGTCAAATGTTGAAAGTATCTAATATACTCCATAAATATGTATAAATATTATGGATCTATAAAAAAACTATAATGAAGAAAACATTTGTACAAATAGTAATCATTTCTAGAGTATGAAAAAAACAAAATTAATCTAGCAATAACGTATTCATCAACTAAAACTTACTGCGTTCTTACTATGTGCCAAACACCCTCTAGATACTGAATATAGAGGGTAGTGAGCAAGACCACTGCCTTGGAATTTACATTCTAGTGTTCTAGCGTGTGGTGAGGAGCAGGCAATAATTGGAAAAATAAATGAAATCGTTTGAGGTGATGATAATTTGCCTAAAAGTAAATCTGGATTTTGAGATCAAGAATGAACAATGTTCAGGCAGGAGTTGAGGGTGGTAGGATGTTATTTTTGAAAAACTTGACTTGTAGAGATTTTATGAAGAATTGTATGTAATACGAGAGAAATGAATTCTAAGGAAAAGAGCATTTAAAAAAATCTTAATGGAAGCACATTGTAATCAGAGAGCATAGCTTCTGCAAAGACCTTGAGGCTAATTGGGGAGAGAAAGAAGTCTGTCTGCCTGAAGGAAGGAAAACGGGATAACATCTCAGATAAGTCTTATGAGATAGGCAGATGTCTGTTAACAAAGGAGTTTTGTTAGAATATTACAGTTGTTATTCTAAATGGAATAGAAAAACCATTGGAGTATTTCAAAAGAGAGACCAAAATAATTTAAAATTTGACTTTGGGGAGGTCACCATGAGGAAAACTTTATCAGAATGTGAGAGGTAGAAGGTACTTTGAAAGTAGTGTAATCCACACTTCTCTCTGTACTTATCAGAAAACTGTAATTCCCAGATAGGTCAAATAATGTAGCCATAGTCACAGACTTTATTTGCGATAGAGCCCACAGGATTGAAGGTATTTTATTCTATTTCATCTCATCCTTTACTTTCCTTTCTCCTTTCTCCTTTTTCCTTTCCTTTCCTTTGAATTGTGGTCACTCATACGAACTTTCCTCTTGTATCTCAATTTCTTTATTGTCTGTTCTCACTGTATCTATTTATGTATGGCCACTACCTCAGATCCCTAAGTAGATTATATAGTCATTTGTGTTCAGCTGCTCTGATTCTCCTTGGGTTCCTTTGGTTTAGTCTCTCTTCTGGCCCTCTTCCCTCTCCCTATGAGCAATTTGCCTATCTCACCAACAACCCAGTCAGATCTCTCTTAATTTTCTGTGCTCTAGAGGAAACTGTCTCAAATTTTTGATATTTGAAAACCATCCTTGAAATGAGTGTTCCAACAAGTTTGTCTACATTCATTGACATGTTTTCATAATTGGCCTAGCTACAAAATTGGTTTAGTATGGGGGTCATAGTAAAAAGAGGTAAACTCTGGAAGCCTCTGGCAACAACCATTGAAAGAGTTGGCAGGAAGATTTCATTTCTTGATTTTCCAGCCTGCTACTCAAGACAGTCTCTTTATGTCAACTTCACTACCTGGAGGTTAGCAATAGTACCTTGTCCAGACTTCCACCTGTGCTCATTTGATAGCTAATTTTTCTTTATTGTCAGAAGATACTAACAGACCTACTTTGACATCTCTCCCTGATACTCAAAGAAGAAATAGAGACCTCCTTCTGTTTATGTTATTTCCTGTATTTTACTTGAAAATGAAAGTGCTGTTTTGATAACTTATTTTTCCCCTGAAAGGAAAACTTTTTTTGACATAAAAGAACCCAGGGCAGTGTATGATAAACAACCTCTGATTTTAAAACTTTTATGGAGATCAGCAATGACTATATGCTAAAACTTTATACTAAAGCCCTTTGAAAAACAATCTGGAAATGTATTAATTGTTTTTATTTTTTTAAATTTTTATACTATCAGAACTCTAGTACTAGTGCTTGCCAGAACTTGCACATAAAGTGAGAATAGTAAATACACAAATACATTTGTATAATCATTTCAGCAGTGATTCCTGTACCTGAATGGACATCAAAATCACCTGGAAGACTTGTTTAATACACCGAGTGCTGGGCCCTGACCCCAGAATTTCTGATTCAGTGAGTCTGGGGTAAGGCCTGAAGTTTTCCATTTTTAACAAGTTTCAGTTGATGCCACGGAACAAGTTCTAGAGTGATTCCAAGGACGCTTCCTTTAAGAAGCACTGGTGTGAAATACTAGCAATGAAAGACGGCAGAGCATATCATAGTTAGATTCATGGAAAGAAACAGCCACCGTTTTTATGAGGATTTGTGTCGAAACTGTACCAGTCATTTAACTTTCTACCTTTTCTCCTAGTAGAGAAATTCATCATCATCTCCTTTCCTCATATGTACCTGGGTTAATACATTTTGCTCTTCCTTCTCCGAACCTTTCCCAAGATCTCAGCCTCTTATTAAACAAGAATATATGAAGCCTAAAAACCAGGGAAAGAAGTGTTCTTCATTCTACATTTTTATATAATTGCTTGGGTTATTTATAATGAGTATAAATTGTAATTTTATTCATTGGACTGACTACAACATGCTCCTTCCTCAGCTCATGGAACATTTGACACCAGCTTAACAGAAACTATGAGAAAGAAAGGATGTAACTCTGAGGATGATTTCCTTAAACTCTCTGAACCTCAGTTTTCTGGTGTCCAATATAGAGATAACAAAACACATCTGAGAAGGTTTGGTTAAAGATCTAATGAGGTAGCACTTATCACATGGCTGGCACAGAACACGGTAGCACATGATGATGTGGTAATCAATTGTTTACATGATGAATGTAAATGATGAATGGTAATCAAACTTGTTGATTATACTGTAATTACTAAAGTCAAAATACAATTTGTGTGAAAACAAACTCTATGCTCAGTGATGCCAAAAAGCTGGTTTATTTAGAATATTAAACTAAAGATTTCAATCAATTAAAATCGGTGAAGGTAAACATTCTTTAGGCAAAACAATTTGCATTTTCTGACATAATGCACAATTTTAAGGAATTGTAGGGCTAAATCCAAAGGAGTAGGATGATTATGTTGACACATACAAAGGCATTTTATAGCTGACCTTACCCATAACCTGCCCATAAGCCCTTACCTTGACCACTACTCAGGCCCAACTTCTGCATTATAGAACCTGTGTTTGTCTACTCGAGGGCTTTCTGTGACCACTGAATCCCGCTTTTGCACTTGTGTGGTAGGCTTGCAAGTACTGGGAAATTAACATTTCCCCAACAGCCTTCAACAATTAGGGAAGATGATTCGGAAATAATACCCCAATTCCTGCACCCCTGAACGGGATAACCTGCAGGCTTATATTTCTCAGGACTTTCTAACAGGATTAAACTCCAGTCATTAACAGTGATTAATAAGTATGCCCATATGGATCTCTCTTCCCCTTCTTGTCTCAATTCCCCATTCAGCTACCAGAATTTCTTTCACATGGAACATGTATATAAACTACTTACGTTTGAAAGCTAATGTCAGGTTTGACTCCTGGAGGAACACAGACTAAAGATACAGTGTGTATGTGTGTATGCGTCTAAAATACATGTACACATTTGAAGTTAAGGAGTGTAAATGGCTCCCAACCAAAGACCACCACCAACTCTCTTGTAGCTGAACAAGTTGGATTCATTACTTTTTGCAGTGAGAGAGAATACACAACATGGAGGCCGGGGGGTATGTGAGGATGAAAAAAAAAACAAACAAACAAACAAAAAAAACTTTGTAGGAGTTGTGCTTGTGTTAGGAGATTTGAAGGTGGGTTTAAAAGCTTTACTTTGGATTGTTTGTCATTAGTGTGTGGGGATAGCTCTATGAGTATGGTATCTTGTCCAGAAGGAGAAAAGACCAGAATGAGGCTAAAGTTGTAATTGATAAAGAAGCAGCATTCATTCATATTAACCAGGATAGGGGAGAGTTGAGCATTTTGTGGTTTGGGTAATGTTGATGTTTTTGTCTGGATTCAGACATGATTATGGAATGATCTTGTCGTGGTCTTGATCCATTATGGTAACAAAGTGGCCTTTTTCAATGTAGAAATTCTGTGAAACAGTATATTTTCCACTGGAGAAGACCAAGGAATAGCTGGGTATCAGGCCAGCTTCTGATATCAGGGGCTCCTTTTGGATTTCTCTTTCTCTCATGTGTTTTCAATTCTTGAACAAAACTTTCTTTTATCAAAATATGTTCCTAAATATAACATTAAGGGGACCTTTCTATGTTAAGTATCCTTTGACTTAAATGATATTTGTGATGGTTTCAATATTGTTCATCCAAGTAATTTATAAGTGATTTTGATTCTAGACTGCCAGATATTTTTTAACCTAGTTAATATCGAAATATTTGCTTTTTGCCTTTTCCAAACAATTGTATTTATATCGATATGTATATATTTGACCACAAATGCATACTCCCATGAAGACTACTTTTCAATCTATTCTTGTTAAAGATCTGTTGTATTTTCATAAAAATTTATTTCTTTAACTTTCCAATTTCAACTAAAAACTTTATGGAAGAGACTGGAGTCCATATGAGATTTATTTTTGTAAATCTCATTCTAACTGGGATGTTGTGAGGAAGAAATTATATGATACATATAAATGCATTTTGGATGTAAAGTTATTTTCTTGCTATTAACAGAGCATTCTTTACTTTTCAGAGAGCTAAAGAAGAGGCCCAACAAAAAGAAGCGAAAGTGAAACTCCTTACTGAGTCTGTAAATAGTGTCATAGCTCAAGCTCCACCTGTAGCACAAGAGGCCTTAAAAAAGGAACTTGAGACTCTAACTACCAACTACCAGTGGCTCTGCACTAGGCTGAATGGGAAATGCAAGACTTTGGAAGTCAGTTGCTTTTCTTTGTCTTTATCAATTATATGTCAATACATGGTCATATAGGAGGCATAGTGGTTAAGAACATGGATTCTAGCGTAAAACAACTTTGGCCTGAATTCCTCATGCAGGCATTTATAAGTTGTATGACTTTGGGCCATTTGCTTAACTTGTATAAACCTGTTTCCAGTCTGTAAAATGGACATAATACATAATTCATAAGTTGAGAAAATTAAATGAGCTATTCCCTTTAAAGTACTTAGCCCAGTACTCAATATATGTGAGTAGCTATGCTTCTAATTCTCATTTCTATTATTATTAGGTCATAAAATCCTATAAATACATTTTCTCCAGATTTATAGACAATGATCTTTATTTTTTCCTATATTTGTATGTACATAAACTTATTTAAGTATCTTAGAGGAAAAGCATTCTGTAGAGAAGTATATTTTTACTATAACTGTCTTTAGTAATGTCTGTGCCCCATAGAGTTCTTTGTTAGACATGTTACCTAACCAGCTCTATATTTTTTGATGTTTTGCATTATGTTTATTTATTATCACAAGTTCTGCTTTAACTTTTATGGATACCTTACTGTCTAGATTATGCTTATCTGAATTTAGATAAAGCAGGTGCCTCAAATGATTGCCATGTAATTGCATCAAAAATAAGCTATGACCTTTCTTATGAAAATACTGCACCAAGGGGCACAAAACTTTATCCACTACAAATGCTGATGCTGCCAGACATTGCATATGAGTTGAACTTTAATCCCCCTTCCTTCACACAGACTGAGTTATTTTTGTGAATATAGTTAATAAGGTGTTCAGGTACCCCTTTACTTTTGAAAAACATTATTTAGTTTGCTTCATCTGTTGAGTGTTTGAGATTTAAAGACAGACACAATTCAGATCATTAATAAAGTACACCTTTAAAAATATTTTAAAATGTATTTGTTGCTAAAGTACCCCATATATTCCCAATACAGTATTATCATTTTCTAATTGTAAAATGTGATCTGAGTTTCTCCATTGTCAGTTCTAAACTCTTCTTTACTTTTCCCTATTCTTTTCTTTTAAATTCAATTCACTCCTCAGACTCTTGAAAAGTGGCTTCTATATGTCAGGAAATATCATAGTTTCTGAGTATATAAAGACGTATCTCATGTATTAGTGTTATGTGAGTGCTATATAAAATATAACAAAGAATGGGAAAGGAAAGGGTGTGATGGCACTGTACATGTCTCAAGAAAAACTCAATTAATTCACTAACATGTTACAATAGGGAGGGATTTTTTGTACCCAGGAAATGCTTTCTGTCAATATTTAAACACCTACTATTACTTTCTTATGTTCTTAATGTCCTTAAATAAGCATCATTGTTCCCTATTATTCATGTTGTTCATTTAAATGATACTCTGTGATTCATTAGAAATTTATATTGAAGTATATTTTCCAAAGGGATTTTTTTTAAGTTTTTATATTAATAACACAATTTTCAAGACCAATTATTGGATTATTTTTCCATTTCCTTCTCATCTATAATGACATTTCTAACATTGCCTATTCGTATTGAAGTTATCAAATTATTTAGTTCCGTTTTATTCCTTTTCCACTGGTTTGGAATATATACTTTATTTTATCTTATAAATATTTCTCTATACCTCTCTAACAATAATATGGTGGAAACATTAGCATGGTTTAACTCTGAACCTACCTCTTCCATTTTCCACATTATTGTTGCCTCGTATTTCATTTTCACCTTATTTCCCCCAAATTAGTCCATATAATTGCTGTTGCTGCTGATATTGTTTTAACTATTTCATATATTTATTTAGATTTACCGATGCTATTTTCCCAATTTTTGTGACCAGTTTTGCCTTTTGTTCTTCCCTTTGCTTCTGTGTTCAGTTTCTTTCTTGCTCTTTCCTTGAGTGTGAGTAGCAAATATGTTCAGATTTTTCATATTGAAAATGACTTTATTTTTCCCAGAGTATTGGATAATGATGTAGTTGAGCAGGTAGTTAAGTGAGGAGAGTTTTTTTTTTTTTTTTAACAACACTGAAAATACTATTTTTCTTCTGAAATATTTTCCCTTTAAGAAATCTGTCAAGTACCTTTAAATTTTCTCTTTGTTGTATATGCTCTGCAGTTTCACCCTATTTTGTCTTCTACAGTTTCATTCAACTTTGTCTATGTGTAAATTTGCTTTCATTTATACTTTGTCACTTGGTGTGTTAACTAGAACAGATGCATTGTTTCTTTAGTGGTTCTGCATTATCTTTGTGAAGATTTTCTTTTTCCCAATCTCTTCATTCCTTCCTAAGGGAAAACTTTCTTATAGCTATTAAGAGTATCCCCTTCCTATATTCCAGTTACTGGTTTCCCTTTAATATTATCTATATTCTTATCTCTATCTGCTCAGTTTTGGATAGTTTTCTAAAATCTGTCTTCCAACTCTCAAATTCTCACTTCAGCTGCCTATGGCATAATTTATCCTTCAATAGAGAAATATTCTCATCTTTATCTGTATATATATGTATCTATCTATATTTATGTGTGTGTATATTTTTTAAAAAACATATTTTCCATTTGTCAGTATTTTATTGACTTGTTTCACAAATATGTTCTTTGTTATGGCTTTCTTCTTTTGTGTAGTTAATTCTATGTATTCCTTTAAACAACTTAAACAGATACTATCTGTTTGAGACGTTTCAACTTAATGAGTAATAAACATGAAACAGTCTTATTTTTTCAATAACTACACCTAACTCTGTCAAATTTCACTTTCTGCCTGGTAGTTGGCTGCTTAAACAATATTTCTTTCTGATCTCATTACTGTTTATTCACTTTTAGTTATTAAAATTTAATTTAAATTTAAGTATCATAACGTATTCAAATGTATCACAAGTTTAGATTAATCTGTTGCTTCAGCAATTTATACAGAGGCAGGAATGAGAATAAATAGTCTCACAGGGTCCTCCTCCAACCTAGTTTCTGGATATGGATCTACTGTTGATATAAGGGAAGATGAAGAGGGAAAAATACTCTCTTCATGTGAATGTCCTTATTTTGGCTGCCCACAATTGCTGTTCCCTTTTGTTAAAACCCACACACATCTGTAATGCCTAGTCTGTTGTCCCTTTTCTATATGTTATCACCACTGACCCGGATCATTCTCTATAGACTTGATTTATTCTGTTGAGGATCCAAATGGGCCTTATTCTTATGAGCTTTGAACCCCCCAGAAAAGATCTCTTAGGCATTTATAGTACCGCATAGTGTTTAACAAGAATTTCAAGGTGGCACTTGTCAACTGCTTTAAACAAAATGCTCTTGAATATTATATCTTTTTTACCAATGCTTTAGTGATGCCCTGAAGTCTAATTTACCTACCATATCTCAACTCAGAGCCTGTGGGCACTGGAAGTACCCATACTCCATACCTTTCAGGAATGAGAAATTTGAAAGAGTTGTTTTTGATTCCTTCTTGGCCATACCAACAGCTTAACAGGAAATGCATACCAACCACCCCTTCCACCCAGTAGATGAGTGGTTTTGTTTTAGATCCTGTAAATAAAATGATTCAGATGAATTTACCCTATCTATCCCCATAAAAGGCTGAGAAAGAAGAATTGCCTAACTATTCAAACTCTCTTCTCCTCACCTCCCTCAAATGTCCTCCCTATCAGCCCTCTCTGTTTAAACTAGGGCTTGTGCAAACAAGAAAGAGATGGTCTCCCAAAATGAAATATAGGCAACCAAGCCCTTTTATTTCTTAGATGTGAATTCCAGTTGCCAATCTCAAGTAAATAAACTCTATGGGAAACATACACCATGACTCTAAGAATATTTATTGTACAATTCTCTAAAATTGTTCTGTTATCTTCATGTCATAAGGTATGGATTCTACCATATTTGTTACAACTAATGACTCCCTCTAATGGAAGTGAATTTCCCCATGTGGCTTGTAAGGTTTTTTTTTGTTTGTTTGTTTGTTTGTTTGCAAGCTCATCTATAGTATGAATTGCCTTTACTGGAACTTTTTTTGTTTTTTTCTTTTCTTTTTTTTTGCTCTGAGCTGTTGAGTTTTTGTAGTGTTGCCACCAGGATTGTAGAGAATTTATGCTCTGCCCTCATGTGTGATACAAGGTTAAGTTTCCATTTGTTATGGGTGGATCTTTATTTTTCAGCCAAAAATCCCCCCAAAATGGCTTCTTTGATAAATCACGATATTCCAATGGCTAGGCATGTTCTACTACTTCTTTTTTTTTTTTTTTAAATTTGTACATATTTATTATCTACGTCTGAAAGATAAGAACTTGAAAAATTACCAAGTGAGTATATAATTATCCAAACTGCAGTCTTTTGATTTGCACAGTTGCCATACTGGATTTAACTCTGATCAACATATGTAAACTTGTAAAGTCCTGAGTGAACACAGATATATGGTTATCTTGTCCATTTACTACCAATGAAACTCCCAAGGTTTTTGGTACACCAAAACCTACTTTATGAAAGTTTAGCATCCTTGCTAAATCTTTTCTGCAACTCAATTTTCATGCTTCTTATGTCCCATGTAATTTGAATCACTCATTATTCTCATTTTGTTGGAGGTATATTTTTCCTTTGTCTTCGTGACTGGAATGGCCTTTTCACTAATCCCTCGTCTCCTTATGATGTTTTAATCCTATATATCTTTCCGGGCCCAGTGTAGATAGTAATTCTTATATGAAGTCTTTGTTGACCCCTTTAGCTTACAGCAAGTTCTCCTTCTAAATCCCCTAAAGATAACATTTCCCGCTGTCTGTTGGCAGAGCATTAGATTTTCAACATACTTTGCAAATCAGGATGCCCTGATCAAATATGCTTAGAAAATGCTACCTTCTGTTGAGACTGGCAATGGTGATTAGTATTTTGTCTGTTTAAATTTATTTAATACATTTCTTTATTTCCCATATTTATTTGATAACAGACCTCATTTGTTTTTTTCTTTTTACAAGCAAATGGAGAACAAAAAAAAGCAGGGGTTGTGATCCTAGTCTCTGATAAAACAGACTTTAAACCATCAAAGATCAAAAGAGACAAAGAAGGCCATTACATAATGGTAAAGGGATCAATTCAACAGGAAGAGCTAACTATCCTAAATATATATGCACCCAATACAGGAGCACCCAGATTCATAAAGCATTCCTTAGAGACTTACAGAGAGACTTAGACTCCCATACAATAATAATGGGACACTTCAACACTCCACTGTCAACATTAGACAGATCAACGAGACAGAAAGTTAACAAGGATATCCAGGAATTGAACTCATCTCTGCAGCAAGCAGTTCTACTACTTCTTTACAGGATAGGTGGCACACTGCTTCATTCTTTCCAATCTCCCTGGCGTGCCTCATTTCCCATCTCGAGTTAGTGTTAAATGCCCTAGCTTTGATGGCATATACCCTGTTCTGATATGCCAGTATTTTTATAAGCTTGATTTTCTACTCTCTACTTTCATTTCCCTCTTTTTCTTTTTCTGACACCTGAGGTTTTATATACATGTGTTACAGATCAGCTATAAATTAAAAATGTTTCCTTTATATTTTTAACATGCATTTTGATATAACTGAAATAGGATACATTGGGGGGTTACCTCATCAGCTCCATCTACTATTTTGAACAGAACTTTACTTTTTATTTGTACTTTCCTTCAAAACCACTTTGAATTTTGTGATTTCAAAGTAATTTTAAGTTCCAAACTGTTAAGCTTAGCAGTTATTCTAAGTGGCTTTTAGCTCCAATTCGGGCTTCAAGACTATATTTTATTTTGCAAAGGTGACCTGTAAAGCTGGTACATTCAGCCTCTCCAGCTGTGTCCTTCAGATGCATTGAGGACAGAAGAGGCCATCCATTCTGACGGTTAAATCAGCAAGGTAGTTCATTACCTCAATCTACACCAAAGTTAATAAGACACATTACCAATCATGCCTTCTTGTCTTCAAAGCTCTAAGGTACCCTCAGGTATTTAAGAAGATATTTATATTTTCCCACTGGGATCTTTGCCCAGAATGAAGACAGCCTGTAGTCCAGCAGGAGCTGGAAATGACCCAGATTTAAGATTTCTATCACCTTTTAAAGCAAAATACTTAATTTCACTTTTTGCAATAAACTGTACGTAAGATACCAAGCAAGTATAAAAGGTTGGTACATTTGCCAGGCGGGTGAGACTGATACTTTTCATCAGATAGAGATCTAATACTCTGTCGTTTTGAGGGCTATGAACAAAGAGAACTTGGGGAAATTTGATTAATTGTTTAGATCCTCCTAAAATAAATCTTCCTTTCAAGCCTTTGGTTTTGGTTGTAGTTAGTGAGGCGGGGGCAGATGGTGGTAAGTGTTGATGGTTGCTCCATTGTACTTACTGTACTTAATAGGTTCGTCCAGTAGTTACAATTACAAAGCTCACAGAATATGACCATTTTTATATTCTTACCCTCTCTTGCATTATTCTATCTTTTCCCCAATAGACATAATCACCATGTAGACAGCTCCCTTTGTTATTCCTTTGTTTAAAAAAATCCACACACATATGAATGAAAAAACAATTGTGCTTAATTTCATTATTACAGTAATGGTAAACTATAACATAGTTTTTTTTAGGACTTGGTCTTTTCACTCAACATATTTGTGTCTGAGATTCATTCTTATGGTTCTTTTTGATTAAGTTTTTCATTGTCATATCTGTATTCCTTGTTAAAAGATAATAGTGTATTTTTCCATTCTCCTTGCAGTGGACATTCTTTCTTTTTTTTTTTTTTTATTACTAGAAAAAGTGCTGAAATGATCATTGTTGTAACAGTCTTGTTATCCATGGTAAAAAGTTTCTCTGAGGATATGTATATCAAAAAGTGGAGTTGTTGTCTTGATGGGTATGTGAATGTTCACCTTACTTAGAATAACAAATTGTTTTCCGAAATGGTCATTCCAGTACACACATCCACCAACAGTAAATACAAATTTTTGTTGATGTATATCTTCTGTCACACATGGAATTGTCAAACTTCTCATTTGTGTCAATCAACGTGGTATCTCATTGTAATCCTGGCCTACATGTCCTTGATTACTGATGAGGTTGAACATATCTTCATGTTTATTGTATATACATATTTCTCTTTAAGATTTTGGTTCAGGCCTTCTTTTCATTATCGATTGCGTTATTCATCTTTTATTTGACTTACTGTGATTATTTTTCATATTCTTATGTGTTACAAATGTTGCAATTGTTTTCTTCGAGTTTGAGGCTGTTTTTCAATTACTTAATGGTGTCCTTTGATGAATAGAAGATTCTAATTTTAATGTAGTCAAATGTATTCATCTCTTTTATGGTCAGTTTTTTTTACAAGATGTCTTACTTAAGATACTCTTCTCTATGCCAAAGTCAGAGATATTTTCTTCTATATTTTCTTGTAGAAATTTTCAAGTTCTGCTTTTTTATGAGTACTTCTGTATATAAATCAGTTTCATAATACAAATCAATGGCCATTTAAAATAATCAAGCCTTTGAATTAGTACTAATATTTCTGATAACATACCTCAAGGAAATAATAAGAAAGTAGAAAAATAGTCCATATTCATGATGATGTTTACCATAAATTTATAATAGCAAAGAAAACTAAAGGTAGTCTAATAAATGTATATTGCTAAACTAAGAGCCACTTTAATGAAGTCTTAGATTTTCATTAAAAATATGTCTTCTTAGTAATAGAGAAAATTGTATGATATAGTGTTTAGTGAAAAGAGTGCTATAGTTAAACTCATTTAAATTTTAACTATCAAATTATATATGTTAAATTTCAGAGGAGGTCACAGAATACTGGTAACAGTGATGTGTGAGGGAGTTAGATTTACATATATGCTTTTACATATGCTTTTATTTTTCTATTTCCCAGGCTGCAATGTTGGTGCATATTTTTGTTTTAAAAAGTAAATTACTGTATTTTGAATTCGTCCATTATTCATGTAATAAAATGTTTTCTTAATGACTTTTAATTATAGAGGTATTAGATGATCAAAATGACTAGCTGCATTTTAAATTATCTGCTACAAAGTAAAGGTGAAAAATATAAAGTGTTTTGTTTTCAGAAGTTTTAAAAAATGAAATGGCAAAGTTTCGCATTTACTTTTCTACCATAATATTTAATCTGTGATATATGTTTCTTTCTCAGGAAGTTTGGGCATGTTGGCATGAGTTATTGTCATACTTGGAGAAAGCAAATAAGTGGCTAAATGAAGTTGAATTTAAACTTAAAACCACTGAAAACATTCCTGGCGGAGCTGAGGAAATCTCTGAGGTGCTACATGTAAGTTGTAAATTAAACCAAATAATGATAATTTATATGCATTATTAAAAGAGGTCAAGTACCAAATAAAAGACAAATCCAAAGAAAACAACCCAAGAGAGTATAATTACTGTGTTATCACTCAGCATTGGTACTTTGGACAAAGCCTTTGTTCCCCCTAAGAACCTTCTAGGTCACAAGATTTTGCAAAGGGTTTAAATAACCTCTTACAGAGAAAATTTGCCTTTATTATATCACTAAGTTCTACATAGATATTTTACCTAATTAAATCTACCACAAACCTGCAAAGACAGTGTGAATAAGCAATATCACTGCTTTAGGGCTAATCAGGATGATAATATGAAACATTATTTCCAGTTTAAAAGCTGCATGTATTGAATTGGAACATATTTTATACTTACTTAAAATCACAAATTTACACCTTACAGAATGTTTTGAGTTATTAAATGGATATGCTTTAATATTAGAAATATATCTTTAAAATATTCATAAAATGTAACTACACTTTTAAGTTTTACTTTGGAGACTTTTAATAATTAAATTTTAAATGAGTTTGCATTTATAAACTTTGACTTATTTTAACTTCTGACATTGAGTCATTCAAGCTCTATGCATTGTAGTGTACTTTTGACTTATCTATATGTAATGAACATGTTGTTTTAGAATAGTATGTGTACATAAAGCTATAAGTAGTATAGCCCCTGTGTAAATCTATAAAATAAGGAGCATAAGTTATTCAAGATGTGAAGAAAATGTAAAATATTTCTTTAGACAGAATAGAATTGTAATCCTAGGACATCAGAGCAGACACCTATGGATCATTTTATTCAACTTCCTAATTCTCGAAAGAAAATTATAAAACCTGCAAAGGTATTAAAGTACAATAAATGAGGTCTTCAGTGGGCTTTAATTTTGGCCCTATTTGACTAATCATGACTATAAATTTGTCGTATTCAGAGAAGTTAATTGACCAAACATTTCTTGTGAATCAACAATGTGTTACATGTTCTAGAAAAGATGCAGTAAACTTACAGCACATTAATAAAAGGACAGTGGCCAGAACAGAAGATATGATGATGTTGTTATCCTATGAAGTTGTCAAATTGTACATGGAGCATCATGCTGAATTCTTGATATCACAGTTTAAGTGATGCACTGAAAAACTAGGGCATGTTCAAAAGTGAATGTTAAGGAACGAGAGAAAATTTGAAGCCATAATCAAGAGTATTTAGAAAAGATGGGGGAAAAAAAACCCTTACCATTACTATTTACTATTTTAGGTAAGGCCTTCACAATGCCCACAACACAGACAAGCAGGAGGAGGAGGATTGCAAGTGCTCTTATCTTTTATTCCTATCTTGTGGTCATAATTTCTGATTGTTCCTAATTCAGATAATGGAGCCAATAAAGGAGATTCCACAGTGAAAAAATAAACAAACACATACATAAAATTGGTTCTCTGGTAGTGTTGCTGATGCTCATCCAGGAGGACATTTTGAGTGAAAAGGGCTAGATCACCATGAATCAAGGATAGAAAAACTGCATGACTTCTAGGTTTTCTTGCAACTCAAGATATTTATAACTGATCCCTTAATTTTGCTTTGTTGCTTTTTATCCACCTTTAAAAAAATTTAGCAAGGTATATACTTCGTTACATCTTATAAAATAAAGTATCCATTAAAATTATTTACATCCATTTTGCAAATAAATATTTACAAAATTAAGATTTGTTAAAAATAGTAACGAATACAAATTATAAGGAAAATTATTAACAATTTCATTGTTCTGCTCAAAAATTTGATGGCTTTTTAAGTATTTTACAGGTTATGGTGATGTTTTAAATATAAATGTATTTAGGAAGTCTCTGTATTTTTATTTTCTTGAAACTTAATAGGAAAATATATTGAGGTTGCTCAAAATTCAAGAAAAATGCATAAACAGGAAAAATTGTAAATATGTGTTGGGACATTTTCATTTCTTTAAAACAAGGAAAACAGAATATTTAATAAATGTGTTAAAACATATGCCCATCGCTTATTCTACAGATATGTTTGAGGTCCAGTAAGATGAAATTGAATCCCTTGTTTTCCAGCATGCCTGCATTTGACACTGAGATTCACTTTCATCATATTATCTAGCCAGGCAACTTTGTTAATTTTCAGCAGTATAGGAGATGGGTATTATTGGGATATACATAACAGAAAATCAGACAATGGCTTAAGCTCACAAAATAATCTTTTCTCACCACAAAAAGAATAGTGAAGGGAAGTTACCCAGGGATGAGGATGGTTCAGCCATATTATGGGGCGAGTAGGCACTCTCTTTCTGCTCTCTATTCCTGAGCGTGAAGGACCTCACACTCAGAGTCATAGCCTCCCCGTGAAAAGATAATTGTTACACCTCCAGGCCATGCATGTGCAAAAAAGTAGGAAGGGCAAAAGGATTCTTCTTGAGAGAGTACTCCTTTTCAAAATTGTGTCACTTGGACACCACTAGCTATCAAAGAAGGTGAGAAATTTAGTGTTTTACCTCTTCAGGTTTTAGAGTTAGGGGACATCAAGGAAAAAGGTGGTTGTGAATCAAGTTTTAAGTTCTCAGTCCACAACACTGTCATAATCCCATGAAGATTCCTGTAGAATGACATCCTATTTTTTGAAGCAAAAATGCTCCTTGGTGTTTTTAATCCTAATTAAAATTTGCTTTAGATTGATTATGACTTAATTATATGTAAATCAGAAGATACTGAGCATTGTGTGATAATTCAATGTATTTAGGAAGAAAAGAGAAATAGTAATTATTGCAAATGTGTTTCAGTCACTTGAAAATTTGATGCAACATTCAGAGGATAACCCAAATCAGATTCGCATATTGGCACAGACCCTAACAGATGGTGGAGTAATGGATGAGCTGATCAATGAGGAACTTGAGACATTTAATTCTCGTTGGAGGGAACTACATGAAGAGGTATGAAAATAAGTGAAAAATCTCCTTAATCTAGTTTGCATTAATGTATAGCAGATACAGGCCTCTCAGATAAAATGAGCAATACTTTAAATATTAGCTTTCAGGTTTCAGAGACAGTCCAAGGCCAGACACTGGGTATATTCTTTACATGTGTATTATATCATGTGATTTCACAAAAACATTATAAGTTAGGATTTTAAAAAGGCAACTGAGACATACCAAGGATAGTAACCTTCTTGGGTCTACATACTCTGACCACAGACTTCTTTTTCCTGTTCAAGATAATCCAGTATGTGTGGGTATCCTTTCTCACTTGCTCTCTCATTTTATCCCTCTCCCTCCACTCCACACACATTTGTTATGTCATATGTAATCTGCTAATAATACATGCAATTCTGTTAGTACCCTGTATTATTTGTTCTTCACAAATAACACTAAATTTCTTATAGATAAATTTTCATACATCACACATGGTGTGATTTTTCAAATCAATACTAAAACAAAATAGCAAATTTCTCCTAGTCAGTGTTTTGCATACTCTCTCCTAAGGATGAATTATTTGTTAAGAAGAAAACCTATTTTATAATAATGTTTAGTTTTATATTCACTTACTGAGTTACAGCTACTACAGGTGAGATATGGTTCTATGGTTTGATAATAAAAATTTCCTATCCTTCATAACTTATAAACATTGATTAGTTAAGGAAAAGTTATTGATTTCCTAGAATGTGCAAGACATAAAAACAAATAAGGTATGAAGAGAAAAAGAATAAGGAGGGTAGTAACTAGGGGAGTATGCAAGAAACCATTGACTATTTAATGATTCATTGAATAGTCAATGTCGGGGACCTTTTGACATGCCTACAGATTGAAGAGCGGGGGGAACATCTTGAGTAGGAAAACCTCGTCTCTAATTCTGAAGAGAAGTAGGTGAGGGTGGGGCAGATATCTGCAAATGTACAGGCAGCGGCCTCCAGTTTGGAATCCTGCCACTATATTTGGTGGGTGGCATATCCATATTTTATCCAAATCAACATAAGGAATTGGGGATTGGAAAAGGGGTAATCCAAACAATCTCTTGATCCTTCATCACTGTTGCACTATTGCTGGATCTGAGTCAAATAGATATGGCTATGTGGCAAGTAAATTGAAGATCATTTCAATGTGGGTTTTGATATGGAATTGGAATGTGTTTTTGTTTCTATTTGAATATTAGTGTCAGGTAGGAGAGAGCAGTTCAGGCAAAAAATTAAAAGTCATTGTAAAACTGACCTTGGCTTAGCTGTGAAAAGACTCTTTTGTTGAGACAGGGTCTTGCTCTGTCACTCTGACTGGAGTGCAGTGGCATGATCATGGCTCACTGTAGCCTCAACCTCACTGGGCTCAGGTGATCTTCCCACCTCAGCCTCCTGAGTAGCTGGGACTACAGGTGCATGCTGCCATTCCCGGCTTTTTTTTTTTTTTTTTTTTTTGTATTTATTTTTGGTGACATGTGGTTTTGCCATGTTGTCCAGGCTGGTCTTGAACTCCTGGGTTCAAGCTATCCACTTGCCTTGGCCTCCCAAAGTGCTGGGACTACAGCTGTGAATGGCCACACCTGGCCGAGATCCAACTTTAATGTTTGACATTTTTCAGTGCTCATCTATTCTGTCCTTAGGAATAGCTTAGTCTCTAATTTTACCTTGGTATTAACTCTATTAATGTAATTATCTTGCAATCCTTTATTAACACAAAACTACTTATAACCTTCTATTTCAAAGGTTGTTGGTATAAAACCTGACATTTCCCCCAAATAAAAAATAATTCAGTTCAGCAGCATACCTTGGTTCAACACCTATTCTCTTATTTTCTGGACTGAGTTGTTAAAACATAAAAATTTGAATAAGAAAATACTTGAAACTTGGTCTAGTAAAACCCCTTGTCAGGGTCCAGACAGGCCACAGAAACCACACAGTCACTTAAACAGAGAATTAAGTATTAACTACTTACTGGAAATTAATTTTAATAGAGAATAAAAGAGATCTCTAAAGAATACCCTAAGCCTGAGGAATAGTACCCAAAAAAGGAACTAATATGGAAAGATAGGAGCTCAACCCAAGGCTGGATTCGGACTTCTTTAGAAAGGGTGTGTCTGCCTCCCATGGGATGACAGAGAAGTTTCCTTCATTGACCCAATCCAGAACAAGTCTATAGCCAGTGGGCTGAAGCTAGTGTGAAGAGAATATTGGAGTGGAATGCTGACAAAATTCAGAGAAGTAGCCTATGGTGGGGAACCATTGAATTTGCTAGAAAGCTGGCTGGTGTATTCATTGGACATGTTGGGAAACTACCTGTAGTGGATGCTGCTAAACTTGAGGAAATGAGGTGGGGCTCCAGGAGGCTACCTATGGATTTGCCACCCATCCTCAACTCGCTTGTTGGGTACCCATAGAACTTGTCAAACACGACCCATAGTGTTGCTGGAAGTCTTTTGGGTAAAGCGGGGGGATGAGGTGAGCCTTACTGGGCATTCCATAGGCCAACCTAGAGGCACAGGATTGAAAAAGAATTGAAAGCACACTGGAACAGACAAACCTCTACCTTCCCCATTGTCACTCCAGCACCCTTTACTGATAGAACTTAATAGCATGCCAGCTGACAAGGGGAGAAATATTCCCATATCAAAACCAGGATTATGTTGAAAGGCAAAAAATTGATAACTGGCAAATCCCTCTGTAATTCACTGGCTATGTGATCTTGAGTAACATTTTTAAACTTCCATTTCCTCATCCTGTTTCATGGGGGTTTTTTTTGTGAACAAAATATAAAATGCTGCACTTAAAGTACTTACTATGGTTCCAGGAACATAGTGCATATTCAATAAATTATTCAATAAATTTAATAAATTATTTTATCTTTACTAGATCATATGCTAGAGTATCAGCCCTCAAAAGTGTGTGTGTATGTGTGTGTGTGTTTGGGTATAAATATATACATAATAGTACATATGTGAATATATCTATAAATAAATAAATATATGTGTGTGTGTGTGTGTGTGTGTGTATATGTATATATCCCTCTGAGGGCAGCGATAGGTAAATAAATGCAGATAGTACAATATGAAATACAATGAAATGCACATGCCTCCATTAGTTAAATAAAATGCTAAGATAGATAAAAAGGATTTTTATCACCCTCTAAGCCATAAAATCAGAACCTCTCCACTTCAACCTCAGTGATCAATTAAGCAGACTGTTAAAATAACAATAAATCTAAAATAAATAAATTTGAAACTATTATCAGTCCTAGCTGTGTTTATATTACATATTTGGCCAGTAATTTGCAGTTATTTGACAATGAAAATAAAGCATATGTAGTCTTTACCGCTTTCATGAAAACCACATCGTGTTAAACATGATATGCTTCTCAAATTCTGTTGTATCAGCATGTAATAAACTGATGTGACCTTAGAGATACAATGTTAAATTAAAACAATGTGTAATAATAGGACTTTTGTATTTCTCAGGTTTTACTCAGCACTTTGATCAATTCCAAACTACTTAGGTAATAAAGACACACCTATATTTTGTTAGCTAAATCAATCCTTTGGATATTTCCACTATCTAGTTAAAAAGACTGGTGTTTTGATGCAGTAGAATGAGCCTTGGGATACATTATCTGATGGGCTGAAGAAACAAAATGGTACATTAATGTGTTATAATCAAGAATTCTGAATTTGTTTTAGGCCATGATTTTCTTAATTTTTGGTTGGTTAAAGAAAAGCAGTTTTTATTTTATTTTATTTTATTTTCTATTTTTATTTATTTATTTTTGAGACAGAGTCTCTCTCTGAAGCCCAGGCTGGAGTGCAATGGCACGATCTTGGCTCACTGCAACCTCCGCCTCCTGGGTTCAAGCGATTCTCCTGCTTCAGCCAGTTTTTGTATTAATAAACAAAGTACCCTTTAATTTGAGGACGAGCCTTAACCCATTTTTAAAAATCAATTAAGTGCCTATGTCAGAGGTTTGTGAGGTTTTTATATTGCCTACCTAATGTTTCTTATAGCTGCAATTATGCAGAACTAAGGTAACATTCAATTGCCTGTTAAATCAATCAAACAGCCAGACTTTTATTGCCTATGAATATTTAAAAGAGATTCACTAGATCCCATTCCTAATTTCAGAGTGTGAGTTTGCATTCAAATAAGTAATAAATTATTTCCATCACTGCAAAAGGCATCTTTCATTCTTGATAATCATATGGCAGTATATTTTCTACTCACAGTAACGATTTGAAAGATGGTTAGCAAACCAGGCAACATCTCCAAAAGACATACCAAATCATGTAATTTTTACAACTATTATAATAGCTTTATTCTCTAACAGGGTAACCAAGCAGCTGAAGATGTTTTAGTAATGCAACAAAATGAATAATAATATTGGTAATAGTATTTGGTTACAGAGGTCCAGGTACTGTTTTTATGTCAGACATGCATTTTCTCATTTAGTTCTCACAATAGCCTTATGATACAGGGTGGTGTTTGTTTTTGTTTTTTCTTTTTTTGAGATGGAGTCTTGCCCTGTCACCCAGGCTGGAGTACAAGGGTGCTATCTCAGCTCACTGCAATCTCTGCCTCCCGGGTTCAAGCGATTATCCTGCCTCAGCCTCCCAAGTAGCTGGGATTACAGGCACATGCCACTATGCTGGGCTAATTTTTGTATTTTTAGTAGAGATGGAATTTCACCATGTTGGCCAGGCTGGCCTCAAACACCTGCCCTCAGGTGATCCACCCGCCTTGGCCTCCCAAAGTGCTGGGATTACAGCTGTGAGCCCCTGCACTTGGCCGATATAGTGTTTTTTATATTCCCATTCTATAGAAATGGAAAGGATAGTAAAGGCCCTAGGAAGAACCGATTGAGCATTTAGACCCATCTCTTTACACTTGAAGCCTAGGCACATGACCTTTTGGCTACACTACCTCCAATCTCTGTGACCCTTTTCATGCATTAAATATAAAAAC